TTTTTTNTTTTTTTTTTTTTTTTTTCTTCTCTATCGAGTTACACTTTCGTCGTTTATCGATTTATCCATTTATCCTTCCTCGTTCGATGCAACAAGATCGAGAGACGATTTCTCGTACGTTCGTTCGATTATTCGATTAATTGTGCATCTTTGTAAAGAAAGAAGATTCGTCGAGTGTTGAACGCATACATATCGTTGTTTCGTGTTGTCACATTTTATGAAGCATCCTCGAGTTGTCAGGACCAAGAATTTTCGCCGAGAGCAAATCCTTGTAATCCTTCTCAACTCCCCGTTAACGTAGATTACCTTTACGAAACAGTAATTCTGAATCGTTCTATCTTTGCTCTCTATGAGTTTCTCGAAAACTTTGAAAGTAATATTCCTATTGCCTCCTATTACGGTCAAACTGGAGACGTCGAAGATCGATTTGAGATTATATCGTTGTGCATTGGCGATGCGATGTTCTAAAAAGAAAAGCAATCGTAGATAAACATCTGCTTCGAGTCATCTCTCGCGGTCACCTTTCGAAGGGTTAATAATTTTAAGCCGGTTAAGGGAATGGTATGAATGGTAATCGCGTGGTGGCGCTCGACGTGTAAAATGGAAAATGGAAGATCCGTTCATCGGTCGAAGAAATTACGCGACAAACCAACCGGAGGGGAAGAGGAACATTGATCTATTTGCTTAGCTAGCTGCCTCGTGTTATGTAGATTATGCAGCTATCGGACACTCTAATCTCGAGGGCGCGTTATTCGATTCCTTGTGACAACAGAGAGAGAGAGAGAGAGAGAGAGCAGCGCGAATAATAATGTAAATTGGACATTGAATTTATCGCGGCTTCCCTCTGATTTCTTCATTCCCTCGAATCGCGAGAGAGGCGGTAACCGAGATCGAGTTAAATTAATCGCGAGCAAGTTTTGCTTCGAATTTCGAAATAATCGAGATCTCGATTGAAATAGGATCCAAAATTACCGAGATAATCCGAGATAAATGGAAGATAACGAGAGTATCGAGATCATTGCCGATCTTTTTCATCCTCTTCCACGGATATTTTCTACTCTTCTCTCTTCGCGTATCTAGAACGCCCGTTCGCCATCCGATTTATCAAGCACGGTTGTCGAACGGAAGATAACTCAAACGGCAAACAACGTCGTTTTCGTCCCACGACATCAAACGTCGTCGTCGGAATAATTGCGTCCGGTTATAACACGGACGTATCGAGTTGATCTTAAAAAAAGAAGAAGAGAAAGAAGAGAGGGATCGAATCGAAAATCGTTACACGAATCGTTGTATGAGTAATGGAGCTGTCCCGTTCGAGACGTCGCGTATCGATGGCGAGGGAGAGGGGGTATAATCCACGAGCGCCTATGATCGGCTACCGTCGATGATCGGTGGGACGCTCTTTATTAAAACGGAATGAAAACTTGGTCCGAGCCAACTTACGTACCGAGATCGTACGATACGGCTTTATTCCGATATTTTCCATTCGCGATACGCGAATGATCTCGGCCCATGATTTTAATGAAATCTCGTTCGTTAACGAGAGGCGGGGGCTTGCGTTTATTTCGATCCCGTGTAACTCGATTAGAGAGCCTGTCTATTTCGTTCGTTATTATATATTCGTCAGATATATATCCGTGTATTTCCATTCTTCCTCCTCTTCCTCTCCGTGTCATCTCTGCGCTCCGTTCTTTGACGGTTGTCAAGGAGGGGGAGGCGGATAGGCGGCGAAGAAGAAGAAGAAGAAGAAGAAGAAGAAGAGCAAGTTGGATGTCGCTCACGCGTTTTGCCCATTATCGCGATCTCGCGTCCATTTTGATCTCGCATCTCGCTGACGTCCCCAACGACGAGTGGTTTATCGATCTGAATCCCATTTCTCCAACGCTCTACTAGATTATTATTACTATGCGATTCGTTATAAATCGAAATTATTGTTCGCTCCAGTGTGCACCGGGAAATTTTAATCTCTCTCTCTCTCTCTCTACGAGGGAGACCTGTTCTGTCAGCCTGTTTGATCGAGCTACTCTCTAGTCTCGTCCCCTTGACTTAGAAATTCTTAGCATTCGTCTTATCTTCGTAAGATCGATGAACATCGCTCCTCCTCCTTTTCTTCTTGAAGAAGAAACGAGCCAAAAGTTAAAAGGGGGGAGGTACGTCGAATTTCAAACATGGACAAGGAATAATTGGCACACACGTAAATAAACGGGAATAAAAGGGAATGGATCGCCACGCGACTGGTGACTTTTCGGCCAGAAATCGAGCAGAATCGATTTCTTGGCGAACGAGATTAATCGGCCGTTCGCAGCGAAATGGTACGCGGCGGAGAGAGTGTATCAACCCCGCGATGGAACGCGTTCCTTTTGTTCGGTACTAGTTGGAACAGCGGTGTAAAAAAAGGAAGGAAACAGGGAACGATAGTAGTTAAGGGCTAAACCTGTTTCTCGGCAGCTCGCGCACTCCAACTCCTCTATTTCGTTCAAACGTCATCGGGTTTAATTAAGGCCTCGAAAAACGGCCCATTTCCCACCATTCCCCTCCCTACTTCGACCTACTTGCGTTGGAAAAAATTCGCCTCTTTCCTTCGAGCTGCCTCTCCGCTCTTCTTCCCCGCGGACAACAAATAGAAATTCCATACTCTCGAAATACTTTTCGATCTTTCTCGAGAGGAAGAAGCGGAATCAAAAAGAAGAAGAAAAATTGCTGGATCGTAACGATTCGTCGAGACGAAATCATTTATCCATGGAATTCACGGTGATCCATGGCTCGGGTGGAGAAGAGGTCGTGCGTGTGCGCGTACGATCCTTTCTTCCCCGCTGGATTTCTGTAATTTAGATGGGCGCGATAGCGTATCACGCGATAGGAAGAGGCGGCGGTCGGCGTCGCGTGGCACTCGGCCACTTGGGTTTTCTTTCTCGTGGAATGCCTCTCGAACGTGTACGAGAGGAGGCGTGTTACGGAGCGATTTTATCGAAAGGAAGAGCAACTTTTTCCTACGCTCGAAGCTTGACTTACCGAGCCGTAAAGAAGACCACAGGAATCCATGCACAGGTACAGGCAAGTCGCGACACCTTGGATCCTCAGTTGACCCCTGGACACGGATGTTCGTTGAAATATCGCTGGAAAGGAAGAAAATAAATAGATCGGTTAGAGAGATATCGTTATCGAACGGAATCTTTGTAATTGGTAAAACGAGGTTAAAAAAATGTATTTCTATTTCGAAATATTGCTCGAACAATCTTTGCGACGATAACATCTTTGTAACGATAAAAATTAAAATTTCTATTTTCTATCGAAATATCGGTGGAAAAAATCCGTCTATAATTACTTGGAAACAATCGTTCGAAAAATCTTTGCAGCTTCGTTAAATCGGTAAAACGAAATTAAAGTTTCTATTTTCTATGGAAAAAAATCTTTACGACGTAACGATTAAAATTTCTATTTTCTATCGAAATATCGGTGGAAAAAATCCATCTATAATTACTTGGAAAGAATCGTTCGAAAAATCTTTGCAGCTTCGTTAAATCGAAATTGAAATTTCTATTAAAATATCGCTTGGAGAAAAATTAATTGAAAAGAATCGTTCGATCTTCCTAACGATAAAACGAAATTAAAGTTTAAATCAAATTTCTATTTTCTATCGAAATATCTATGGAGGGGAGGGAAAAAAAAAACTTTGGCGATCGGTGAAACGAGAGGCCACCTATTTCCACCTGTTTCTATTTTTTCCCCGTGCGATTAAGTTTGTTCGAGAAGACGAAAGGCCTTGGCCTTTTTTCCCCTCCCCCCCCCCCCGATTTTCCACCACCTGTTAACCTGATCTGAGCGACGATTTATCCACCGGATGCGTCGTGTATCGATTTATTCCTGCCTCTTTAGAGCGTAATCATTCCCGATCATTTTTGCGCGCGGAGAAGTACAAAGTACAGCTCGTGTGCATTTTTCCCAACAAATTCCCAACAAAATCGGGCAGCATCGAGCGGTGGTCGTTCGCTTCCGAGGGTATCGATTATGGGAATTGAAATATACTAGTCTAGAAGGTAGACGGGATCGAGTATAATGAAACGTTTTGCGGACACGGGAGGCAGCATACACCTCCCGATAACATCGAAGGGACATGTCGCTAAATAATAATTGTAGCTTCAATCCAACCTTCCGGTCGTGGTTTACGATTACGTTTGATACGCGTGTTACGATACATTGTACGTAATTATTAACCGCATACCGGGCTTAAAAATAATAATATTCCCGCCGGTATGAGCCATTTGATTGAGGATCGATAATGAAGGAAGGAAGGAAGGAAGGAAGGAAAGGAATCTTGTGCGGCAGGTATACAAAACGTGCAATTATCTTCAAATTGTATGTTGACAAAGCGGCTCTCGTCTCGTCTCACAATGTGATCTGTGTTTTATATATATATATATATATATATATATCACAAAAATGATATGAACGAAAACGCATGAAACGCACGTGTGAAATTCGAGATGCAACCTCGAAACTGGGACCTAATCGTCACGAGTAATCGTGTGCGCGTATCGATATACCGATTCTATTAGTGACTCGTGTATAATCGATGGAAGAAACACGGCCCAGTCGTGAATTAATAAGTAAGGCGCGAAACGAGGGGCCTCCGCGTGAACGAGAAGAATAAACGAAAAGAAAGGAAGGAGGGGAAGAAAAAGAAACAAAAAAAAAAACTGTTCTTTCAACAGCTGAAACGAGAGTATCGAGAGTATTATTTCCCCTATTACGAGAAAAGAAAAAAGAAAAGACAAATGTTATTCGCATTATCGCATAAATCAACTTATTCGATATTCGAAGGGACGAATCTCCAGCTCGGGTTTGCTCGGGTCGAGATTCGCCATTGCTATTTGTCAAGCACGAGCCGTTGTTGAAAAGGTAAATCGCGGTGGCACGAGCGTGGAAAAGAAAGATACTCAGAGATCCGGGTATCTCGTCTCATTACTCAATTCGCTTCTTTATTTTCCACCACGGGCGGAGGGAAGGAGGGTCTTTTATCGCACGCGATGGCTTTCCTTAACCGTTCACCCTTATCTATTCCGAGCCTCGTTCTCAAGGTGAACGCGATACGCTCGCGATTCGACACGCGATCGCACAAGTGCGCGCAGCGTGATCCCAGCCACCTGTGCCCTGTAAATTTCACCACCGTGTAAACACTGCGACTCGCGTTTATTTCCCTCCCCTCCAATAAACCGTTTTCCTTTTAACCCCCGCGCGCCAATCTCCATCCGAGACGAGGAGAGGAGAGAGAGAGAGAGAGAGTGAATTTAAATGAAATTCAGAAGAAGAGGAGGAGGAGGAGGAGGGAAAGCGGGAGGACAGAACGATGTCGCCAAGTGGCAATTTGTTAATGCAAATTGACAAGTGGCCGAGTCGTGGTTCGAGAGAGTGAAAGAAGCCCCCTCGAAAGCACCGTGTAATTTTTGCAATTCTCTTTGTCGCGTCTTTGCCGCGCCTTCGGTGGTCTTTTTCTCTCTCTCTCTCTCTCTCCTTTCAGACCCACGCGTCACCTGAGCGAACGGGGGTATGCAAGATCGTGTTTACCTTCGAGCGTTTAAAAGGCCCGTCGAGTCTCGTTAGCGTCCCCTTTTAACGTTTCATTTCCACCTTGCAAATTCGTCATCGTGTACCAATTTATCTGTACACTTTGTCGGAAATTAATTATTACACTCGCCTCGGGTGTATACGCACCGCTGAAAAGAAGAGGAAGATGCGTATGCGCAAGAACGATCCGATCGGTCAATGAGGAAACGCCTATTTTCACGTATATTTTTTTTTTTTTTCGTGATATTTATCTATACAATTTGCTAAAAATTAATCAATCGATTAATTTGTATATACCGTTCATTGTTGAAAAGTCTCGAGAAAGGATCAGATTGATTAATTTTCGTTCTACCAAATTCTAAGAATTCCAAGAGTAAACAGATCGATCAAATTAATTCCATTCGATTTCAATTCTTCGATTAATCAATTATGCCACCTTTGTACAATCAATACACCGCGGTTATTCAAAATTTATTCTCACTCGAAATTATAATCTACTCGGACAAATGTTATTGATGATAAATTATAATAAATATATCGATAAATGTAAAATTAAACACTTTTTTTTATCTACTATATTTTAATAATTAATATATATATATATATATATATATATATACGATTTTATACGAATATATCGAATGCTTTCGTCGCGAAGAGGAAGGGATATTGTCGATGGCGGAGGAGAGGACGGACAATTCTCGAGAAATTACGCAACCCTGAATGAAATTCCGAATCCACCAAACTCATCCGTCCCGTGTTCCACGCACGAGCGTGGAAACTGGAATCCAGCGTTAAATCACCAGCGATATCAAAAGAACCGCGGAAAGGAAGGCCATTAATTAAAAATCGTGGAAACCGGAGAAACAACCCATCCCGTTCGTGTAAATTAAAATCCGATCTCGATGCTTTCGCTCGATTCCTAGGCGAAATTTAATTAGCATAACGCGTCGAACGCGCGTAATAATAATAATAATACTAGTTAAACGTTTTTTCCAACTTTCGCCCTGGCAATCTTTTCTTAATTGTTCCGACAATAATATTGCAAGATAAATCGCGTAAAGACGCGATCAGACGAGTGGGGAGAAAGAAAGAAAAGAGAGAGAGAGGACGATTGAAATTCTTGATTAAATAACGAAACCTTAAAATATATAGGAAATTTTCGAACTCGCAAATTACAATTCTGGCTGACAGGAATCGATCGGCGAATGCTAAAAGGATCGCTCGATAATTTATCGATCTGTTATTACATTTTTTTCTAAAAATTATCCTCGAGATTGCCGTTAATTCTCAGAATTGAACGGTGTCGCTGCTCTTTTTCTTTCTTTTTTTTTTTTTTTTTACGACACGTTTTCCTCCGATCTTTTCTAAAATACGTTTCGTGGCTGAATAATCGTAGGGAAGCCTATTTTCGCTCTCGTCGAGCAAGACATATCCCACGGGGACGATTAAGAAACTAGCCGTTTCGAAGTTGAACTACCGTGTTTCATCGCGCCTCCTCGAGAAATCGACGCTCGCCGCGGGTTCTTTCCTCTTGCTGGAAACGCGCGGGTTTGTTGAAATGGCTTGAAAGAACGAGAGAAAAAAAAAAAAAGAAAAGAGAGAAATTGCAGAGATCGTGATCGCATAAACGGCATTATTGATGACTTGACACGGTAACGGGTATTATTGACGTCGAGGAGTGGAGCAGGATTATTAATGATGCGACTACCTGGACGGTATGAATTTGTCATTCACGAGAAATCGATGGAATTCTAAAATTATCGTCTCGCGAGGGGAGGGGGGAGGAGAAGGGGGGAAAAAATGGGCTATTTGTAAGAGATATTTATGACTTTAAAAAAAAAAAGGAAAAAAAAGAAAAAAAAAGAAAAAAAAACAAAGAGAAATTTTCACCGGATCCGCATGCATACGGAAATAAATGTAATTTTTATTCGATCCTTGTTAAAAGGGTCTTCATGCCTTCTCGTATCGGGCGAAAATACTCTGTGATTATCGAAATTACGGCGGTTTTCCAATTTTTTCGAAGGGGGGGGGGGAGAAATTTACTCGTCGAATCCACGCCCCCCGGGTGGATAAATAATCTTACGCGGTTGAGTAACTCGGTTGGAGGAATGGCTACACGAGTGAAAAAAAAAAAAAAAAAAAAGAAGATCGAGCAGCTTCCTCCTAGCTAAGCCGGCGCGAGAATCAAGACTATGCGGTGTGGCCGAATAGATGGATTAAAAGGCGACGATGCAATTTATCTCGCTTGTCATTCCCTTCCTCCGTTAGTTGCAAACTCGTGGAACGAAGTTGACGAGGAACGGGCAACGAGCCCGACGTTTTCATCACAGTTTTCGCTCGTCGTCCCGATAATTACACGCACGCTTCCCGTATATACTTCCCGTATCCGTGTGCATAATAAAAGTGTAATAAGAGACGCGAGCGACAATCCGCGACGACCATTCTGCCGAGTTTCCGTCCACCGATGAAATATTTATGAATCGTGGCCAACGAGAGAGAGAGAGAGAGAGAGAGTTGGCCGACTCATAAGCTCGTGTCGCTTTACCCGCGATTAA